TTAAGTTAAGTTAAGTTAAGTTATTATTTTATGTTGTTTTTTATTGAAAATTGTTTTTTTCTTTACGAATTTTGACTTTACAAAAGAAATTTCTGTGACATGAATTGTCAATTAACTACTGTGCAGCACAAATGATAGATATATTTGAGAATATTTTTAATAATAATATTTATAAAACGAAAATGAATGCAGATTAATAATCGTCAAAATCGAGCACATTTTTCATTGCTCATGTTTTTATTACTCTTCACAATTTTTACTTAAATCATATTTTTCAATTTATATTGTCAACCACGATTCTTACATAGCTAAATGACAATGGACAAAACACAAAATCGACCAAGATCTTATGAACTTCATGTAAGAGTTAAATGACAACGGATGGAACGAAAATACGAAGAGAGTGCTCGTGAAGTGGAATTTCATTAAAATGCAATAAACGTAAAATTTTCACGAAAAATAAATCCAAACGAACCGTGTCTAATTTTACACAAGCAAATTGCAAATGCATGTTAAGTGAAAAGCCTTTAAAATCTAATGAATGCAGTTTTGTTCACGTACACGTACATGCAAACGAGAGAAACAAAACCCGTAGGAACGCGACCGTGCCTTCCAGAACACCATGAATGATGATAGAAAATTGATCCTAGCCTAGCTACATGATCCTTTTTGTACATGATACATACATCCTGGAATTGGGACAAATAGTTTTACGATCCATAGCGATTTTATTAATAAACATTCCACGTCTAAAATGTCTAGTATAAATGAAACGCCAACGCGATTTGATGGAATTTTGCTTGAATGATTAAAAATAGTGCAAACGGTTTAATATTAATACTGGCGTAAAGGTTAATAATAGACGTGAACTGCAATTAATATTTTGAATATTACACATACACACGGAGGAACGCGCAGGAGAGCTTTTACGTCGGTTTCCATCTGTGCATCAAACTATATACACAAATATACAAACCGAAACATCTAAAAGTTAAAAAAAGAGACCATTGAGAATTCCTTTTTATATTTACGCTTCGCCGCTCAAACTATTTAATCATAAGGAGGAATTCGGTTTTGCCGAAGAAACGAACAGGACACTCCTCTTCGTATATATTTGGAAATAAATTCACTTGCAATTGACATTTTTATCGGCGAGGGTGCATTTTGTTCTGGACTAAGCCCAAATTGTCTAGACTTTAGACGACCAGGAACATTCATTCATCGATTCATCCACGGATTATTATTATATATTTTTTTTCTGCTGGTATTTCCAGCCACAGCATTTATTAATACGATTTTGATTGACGTTGAGGTTGGGGCGGAAGTGATGTATATGTTAGGAGTTGGCGTCGCGGCAGGTGTTTGAAAATATTTTGTATTCCTGAAATTCCAACGGGATCGAGAACTGCCAGATGGCCCAAGAAGTGTGCACGTTGAAGAACTTGCAATATTGGATTTCCATACACACGCGCATACCGGAGAATTTTTTTTTTTTTTCTTGAATTGGCATAGAATACAAATATTCATAAACGTTAATTAACAAGAATCACATGATAAATGTCAACTTTTAGAAAATGAGTGGTTTCTTAATGTATAATAATATATATAATTCATTTGATTAGCCAAAAATATGATAAATCTAACATCCTTACACTAGATCAATATTCATACATATTATGATACGAATGTCATTCAGGTGTACCAAATACTATTGGTATATTGATGTAGCTTTCAAAAACGCTTATTCTAAACTGTAGTAAGCATCATAGTTTTTTTTGTGAATACAGCATTCCCTATCAGAAATGCGGATTCACTAAAGTACGGTTTTAAAAGTTCAAAACTAAATTTGAATTAATCAAACTAAAACTTAATTTTAAAATTTAGTACTCAATTATTTTTTATAAAATAAATATTTTTTTCTATATAGTCAAGTTTCGATTTATGTTTATTTTTATGCGATTTAAAAGTCCTCAATTAGTAATAGAATATTGGTGACAATTGGTATTACCCACACTATATGAGGTATTGCTATATATAATATGATGATATATCTTAGTGCACATCTGATAGTTCTCTGACAGACAAAATAAATAAATTCATTATAATTTTCAATATTTTTAAATGAATTGTTAAATAAAATGTGTATGCAATGAAATAGACCTATAATATTATTATTTTCTTTAACTACAACTATATACATACAGAACCTGTTTTTGTGCGGTCCTTTTTATGCGATTTTTTTTATGCGGTTGATGAAATCCATCCAATTCCAACGACATTGGCACCATTGTAATGTTTTCTACCAGTGTGCATATTTAGTCTGCTCAAACAATTCTGTTAGTCGATTTTGAACCAATTCATCACAAGAAGATGCGCGTTTTGGAATAACACGAGTAGCAGTGAATTATGTATGTGATTTTTGAAAATTTGTCGATATGAGAAAATATTTTTTTTTAAAATGTTTTCATGTGTAATTTAATTATTTATTTTGTTTGGATGCACTTTCTCATGTATTTCGTAAATCTTTGACGTATTTTCTAAGTGAGATTTTTTTATGCAGTCCCTATCCAACGCATAAACAAGTTTCTGTAATATATTATACAAAGTTATTTGTATTGGAACCTCGCTTAACAAGCACCTCGCTTCGCTTAACAAGCAAAATTAATTGTAAGAAAAATGACTCAGTCAACGAGCGACGTTTCGCATAACGAGTGGCGATGAGTAGAGAAATCCCGGATTGCGCGCCTGCTACATCATTTTTAAAACTTGTCTACACATATTATGTATATTTTTGAATATGTTTCACTATACGAGTAAAAATCCGGAAATTTTGGAACGGATTAAACTCGTTAAGCGAGATTCCACTGTATATAGAAATTTATTCTTAATTTATAATTATATATTATAACATTATAGAAAAAATCAGTAAACGATGTTATTTTGATCTATTTGACATTACTAAAGACAAATGGTTACTTAGAATAAACTTTAAAAAACGAATGGCTATCGTTTTTCAGGAAAATTATACATGAAATTAAATCTTACCAACGTAGAAATCATTATAATTTAAACTATTAATTAATTACAAACGATGTTTTCTTGTATTATAAAGCTGAAAGCTTGACGAAATATCCAAAGAATTTTAACCCGTTACCCGTTGTTAATCAATGAAAAATGAACGCTTTTGTCCTGAATACCGAATGAAATATCTTTATTAACCGGAGAGATTTATGTGAGAAAACTGTTAATTACCAAACTAAAAAAAAATAAAACAAATCCCGGATAATTAATTAGTACCAATTAATTTGTTCCACGGTAAAATAATTTATTCACGTGAAATTTATTACCGGTTCGATTAAAGCAGTCGGAATGCGTGCGCCATCTTTCAGTCAACGTCCGACATAATCTGTATTACACAAATAGGATACTGTGCATAGGCTTATAGATGCACCAGACAGAGGTCGCATCCATTGTAGTACAAATCCCTAAATACTTATAATTAATTACACTGCACTAACATCGTTACACAAATAGCGGATGCCTAATTGAGGCGCTTCCGTACCGTTTAAATTAAGCTATTAGTTTCAATGCAATTATAAACAAACGTGAATTTAATAGCAAGCGATTACGAATTTAATCAAAACAATCAAATCCCGGCCTCTTTAAAATGCACTTAGCTTAAGAGGACCACCCTCAATATAAATAATCATATCGAAATGCATTCTCGTGGGAAATCACTTTGCTCGATACTATTTAAAGAGTATTATGTGTTTATCTGGACCTACATTTGCAAATACTCTATCAAAATCACGTCGGTCCATTATGTAATTTACACAATAATGCTCTCTAATCAATACCGCCTGTTTTGAGAGTGAGAGTTGTTTCCTTGTTGGATGGTCCCGGATGGAAGAGCGACGTGAGTCCCTGCCAAAATTAAAATTTATCATTTGTGGACCAATGAAACAGTAGGGTCGACATCGTTTAAGAGACCACTACCAAAGAGGAAGCGCTAAATCTTCTTCACATGAAACGCTTACACATAGCTATCACAATATTTCCCACTGATTTGAATATAATCTGAAATGAAAACAAAAATTAACTAATATATCCTTATTAAATCATCTGCTTAAAATAAACATTATCATTGTGCAGCTGCATTTTTGAAATCGTCTGCTTAAGTTTGAGAAGAAACAAAAATAGAATCTTATCAATTGGAAAATTCTTCTTTTTTTGCCTCAATTTTCCCAAATCATAGGTAGAGATATAATCTTTATTTACGTAAGTCTGGGACTGTTTGTTCTTGAGAAAAAATCGGTTTGCAAATATAAAAGTAGACCAATTGAAATGCAAGTTGCATTCGGTATGGACGCTGATAGGCGCAAGACGTCGTCACCGTTTTGATATTTAGCGGCAGTCCCGAACCGAGGGGCGCTTTGCCAATACACAAAACAGTGTTTCATTGCACATTTACTGTATGATCATCAAACCAACATTGTGTCTGCACCACACCAAAGGGAGATAAGATCCAAAAATGTCATCAACATCCATAGTGACTCTAGCATTGGTATCAGCGATCCTGCTAACAGGTATTTGCAATTGTAATTTTATTTTTATTCTTTTATTCTCTTTATTTCATATGGTAAAATTGTATGTGAATGAAAGAACATAAGGTGTTGTGTTATTAATATTTTTTAAGTAATCTTAGACATTACCGCATTGACCACAGATATAATAAATCAGAATCATTTTATACAGTATGTTATTAATAACACAATTATATAATATTAGTCTGCCCGATTATTAACTCTTTTAGTCTTTTATAATTAGATTTTTTCTAATAATTTCATTGAAATATTTTGTTCTATAATTATTTAAAAGTTTAAAACCAGAGATATAAATATATTTTAAGTGCTATCATATATTTTAGAAAAGTTTGCTTTAAAAATCTAAAGTTATATTCATATTTTCCTGCTCTGTGCATTTGTATAAAGTAATTTTAATTTCATATAACGTTCGTTTTTAATTGTACAGGTGAACCTTGCATAACGAGCATAATCTATTCCAAAATTTCCGGATTTTTACTCGTTTAATTAAACAATTTTTCCCATATGTACTAATGAAATATACGATAATGCGTTCCATTTTGGAGTTATTTTTCTTACAATTTATTTTGTTCGTTAAACGAAATGCTCGTTATGTTAAGCGAGGTTCCACTGTATTTCAGTAAAAACATAACTGAAGCAGAAATACGTTGATATATAATTATTTGAACAAGCTTTACATTAATTTATCAATTATGCCAGAAATTCTAAAAATGATGTTTTTTATAATAAAATTTTAAAAATTAATTAATTAAATTAAAATGTATTACGAATTATTCATGTATTCTTTTTATTTCACACTTCTTGTAATTATTATTATTGACAATAAAATAGGCAACAGAACATTAAAGGTGTTTTTTACATTAGTTTTTAATATTTACAATAATGTAATTTATAAAAATGAATTTACGTAATATTATTCATAAATAAATAAATAAATAACTTTTACAAAGTGCTATTGCCAAAAGTTATTAAATATTGCACATACAGACGTATTTAAGGAAGTTAAGTATATTTATATTCGTCTGTCGTAAATATATGGAGAAGTTAAGTAACAAGTGTAAATTCAATTCTTGCAACATTAAAAATATTTTCTACAGTATAAAATTAATTCAATTCATTTTCATAAATTTAGTAATTTTCTAGTTATATTTCATATTTCATTTATAATGATTAATTTTTATTTAATAATGATATAATGTTATAATTGCTAAATAATTTAAAAAAAATGCAGAAAAACCTTTGCTGCAGTTTAATTTAATTTTTGTTATTATATTGAGTTTATATTTTGGTGGTTTGTTGTTGTAATAAATATTATTATTTTTTAAAAAAGTTATATTATTGTATATTTATATATAATAACAAATATAATATCTTTTCAAAAGTGGAACAGCCAGCTATTTCAATTTCTTTCTTGATTATTACAAATAAAAGATAGTATGAATCGACGCAATTATTGGAAACGAAAGATATAAATTAAAGACATTCGAGTACATATATAAATTGGTTTCATTGTGCAAAAAAAAATATATCAAACCCAAGTCACAGATAAAAAGAAAACCATCAATAACAAGAAAATTCATATATATTAATATTTAAATTAGTAATAATGCAATTTATTTTAATTAACCCAAGTCCGGAACAATTTAATTCAAAACGATCGTTAAAATCAAGTAATGAACTTGAAAATACATATTTATTTATAACGATTAGTTATCTTTTCGGATTCAATCAATAATTGGATTACTCAAGTGAGACGCCGATAAATGCAAATAATTGCTCAGATTTGTTTGAATAATCCAAAGGCTAATCTTATCATCATTTCGATGGATATGAAAATGATGAAAAATTCCGTCTGATTACTGTTTTCTTATGTAACATGAATAATGAGACAGTAAATAAATGCAGTATAAACAGGCAAAACCGTATTTAATATACTTAAATCGCACTAGTGAATTATGCAACAGTTGCACACACACATACAACGATATCAGATATCTATGTCGAAATAAATGTTTAGAATCGATATCGACCTATGTTTCTTTGAATGTCATTTTAACTATGCATTCAATCTAAACATAGTTTGATAAAACAATATTTATTTATAATTTTTTATTTATTAATAAAAATAAAATACATTATTATGTTTGTTTCTTGTTTAGTGCGATAGTTAACAATATTTTTTTGGCAAACGGCGAAGTAATAAAACGAAGAATTTATAATAATATGGAGCATCAAAAAGTATTTGCGTTTTAGTAGCTAGCTCATCCTTTATCATTAGAATGCTAATAATAAATGATCCCAGCCAACGGATCAACAATGCAACTCATTTACATCAAAACAATGCGCGCTGATTATTATTAATCAATTTAAAATAAAAACAGCAAGAGATTATCTCCGGTTTATTAGGTCATTTATAAATTTATATTATATAAACATATTTGCATGTTGATAAAAGACGGACGGACGAAGATGTTTGGTGGCACGTTCCAAAGTCAACGATAAACGAGTGCAGAAGGCGCCATTGAAATTTTGTTTATTTTCGTGAAGCTAAAAGGACGAATCCATTGAGACTACGAATGCACATCGAAGACGATATTGTTGTATAAATATTAAATGGACGTTTTAAAGAAGTGCCCAATTTTCCAATTGACCCATGCGTACTCTAATGCTCTCTATGTCCCACAGTTGGAGAACAGTTCCGTCCGCTTTGCATTATTATTGTATAATTTCAGCTGATCGACGAACATTGTTTACATGCTCGGCGCTTTTCATGAAAAACCGCGCACAACAAACGAACTTACATAACGAAGATTAATTAGAGACATTGAGAAAATGTTCATTTCTCTTTGCAAATTATGAGGATACATAATTACTATCAACGGCAATTCCATGCATTTCATGTACAAGCACAAAGATCTGAAACGATCTCCTTTTATCATACGTTTTCTTTTATTTTACCATTCGAATAAGTCTGTAATCACATAATTTAATTTTACATACATTAATTATGCATAGTATCATCACACACTAATGTAAAAAGAGAACAAGTTGTTTCTTCAACAAAAAAATGACATACATATGGTTTACACTTAGCCATCAAGAAGTTGAAATTCGACACATTTTATAAGATAAGCAAACTATGTCGCATTAGTTCTAAGGTGTTATATGTGTAAGGTGTTACTATAACTATTTGAAGCAAACAAAGTTGAACATTTCTAGAAGATGAGTTTAATAAAATCAAGTTTTATAAACCATGTTGAAGAATTAAAGATAAATTGACATAATCAAGACAATGGAGAAATAAAAAGAATCAATTTCATAAACAAATTTAAAGATACAATATTCATTTTTAAATAGGGCTACCCAATTTTCTGTATAAAAATATAAATCACCTTTAATAGATGAAAATTTTATGAATACAAAGTTTATTCTATTCAAATATAGTGTTTTGAAAGATTTAGAATTTGAAGATAATTTGGCAAAAAAATATTAACTTGGATTTTATATCTTTGTATATTAAATAACAAATGCAAGAAAGTATTCAAATTCAATCATTCAATAATATCTATCAGCACCAAATTAAAAGTTATTATGGAAAAAATATTGTTTTAAAGAAACTCACAAATTAATATACAGAAAACATGTTTTTGTGCGGTAGATAAGGACCGCATAAAAAAAATCGCACAAAAAAAATATTCGAAATATTCATAAATTCTTACATATCACAAATAACTTTGTACAATACATTAGAGAAACTTTTTTATGCGGTGAATAGTGAATGAAAATAAGTTAAAAATTTACGAAATACATGAGAAAGTGCCTCCAAACAAAATAAATAATAAAATTACATATGGAAACATTTTAAAAATATTTAATTTCTTATTTTACGTCGTGATAATCCAAAACGCGCTTCTTGTGATGAATTGATTCAAAATCGACTAACAGAATCAATTGAGCAGGCTGTACATATGCACACTGATAGAAAACATTACAATGGTGCCAACGTCGTTGGAATTGGTTGGATTTCATACACCGCATAAAAAAACCGCACAAAAATAAAATCGCATAAAAATCAATAGATACTAAAATTGTTTTAAAATGCTTACTAACATTTACACAAGAAATGGAATAAATGTAAGTCTTTTATTTTATTTAAATTTAAAAAATGCATTTAAATAAACTGTATATTTATACCACGTAAAACTAAAAATATAATAGATTACCAAACTACAAATGTCATTCATTAATATTTGACAATGTTAAGTAATGTGTGCTTCGAATAGTTTTTGGATATGTAACTCATACGCTGTGCCAATTATCTCGAGAAAAAAATGCACTTGCAAAACGGAGATTATTTTCAAATGTAAAACATTCACAATATATTTAAATATATAAGTATTGTTATTACAACAGTAGCACAGCAATGCCTCGCATAGTGCGTTATTGATCAGTACAATCAATACTTCAAAGCATATTAATTTTGTATTGAGCAAAATAAAAAAAAAATGGTTTTTCAATACAGTTTTAAACTCTTTGATTAGTCAGGTTTCAAAACGTGCGGGTTATTGGCGGGTTTATATCTTTATGCGCTTTAATTAACTGTTACAAAGGGCTATTGACCATGTTTATTCTTATTATTTACATTTATTTAAGATTGCTGTTTTTTTTATTAATTACTTAGAAAAATAAAATAAATATGACTCTGACCCAATTACATAAACATACATAGAAGACTAAGAAAACTCAATCTTTTGTAAAGCCTCAATCTTATGAAAACTATTAATTATAAATAAATTATACACATATAAATGCTTTGTAGTCATTATGTAGACTTGCAAATAGTAGAAGAAATAGTAGTGACTATTGAAATCTTTTGAAGAATATGTTCACATTTGTGTACAATATATTGTATATTAAATTAAAACAAAATCATGATTTCTTTTGTATTTTCAGGATTTTCGAGAGAAGTGCATTCCGCCAAATGGTCCCACCACGATTTAGGTGAGTCTAAAGTCTAATCATAGTATTGGTTATTGTAGAAACCTCTCCAAACCAAACTAAAATAATTGTTTTTTAAACTTAATATAAATACGAGACTAAATATAAACCTGTGCATCTTAAATTGCTCTATCAGATCATGCACGCATTTAGAACATTATAAAACATCAACTTCCTTTGATAAACAATTTTCATAAAAATACAATGTTACTCAATAAGTCGCGGTAAATTTAAAAAAATGATTGCGTAAAAACCGTTTGTTTATTAAAATTCACTATCGAAACAGGACGTTTATAATTAAGTAATAGCAAATAATGTGCGCACAAACATGAATATCGGTTATTTACAATAATAATAATCGATCGTTCATGTACATTTTCGTTTCCAAAGAGAATCGTGTTTATAAATATGAGATGACTTTCATTCCGAGCGTCTATTGGATGCACTAATGGAACTCTGGCGTTCAACCAACCGCACCAGTAACACTCTTTTGCTTTTGACTCAGTTATATAGGACGCTTTTATTATAGATGAAGTCAATCAAAAAATTTAAAAAATATTCAAATGAAATATTTGTTCATACAACAAATAACGTAATATAAAAAGGACAATATAGCAAATAGTTGCCTTCATAAATTGTATAATATTTGTTACAAATTTTCAGATGCGTGGCCTAAGTTATGCCAATATGGGGAGAAGCAGTCACCCATTGATTTAGACGAAAGCGTGGCCATAGATCTTTCAGAGGAACCTTTCAAATTGTTTGGTTATTCCAGCGATTATGAAACGGTACTAATGAACAACGGACATTCAGGTTTAAAATATTTTATTTCAACCACCTTTTTTTTCTAAAAAATATTTGAATTTACAGTTGTTGTCAATTTGGTGGATGACAATGCCAAGCCAATCATGAAAGGCGGTGGTCTCAATGATTCATATACTTTACATCATATTCACTTTCATTGGGGCTCTGAACATACATTCAATGGCGAAAGGTAAATATGTTACTTATCTAGTATGGATAGAGGACATTAATGGTGATTCTTAATAGATTACCCCTGGAAGCACATTTTGTCCACTATGCTACACGCTTCAAATCATTAGAGGCAGCAGTCCAAGAGGAAAATGGACTTGCTGTACTTGGAACTATGTTTAAAGTAGGTATATTTTCTTATTATTTTGAAGCAGCCGCTGCATAGCTTTTTTTAAATAACTATCAAAATAAGTAAAATTTTAAAAGCACTTACCGATGGACGTTGGTCAATGTTTAACATAACTGCAATACATAAAGTTGCATCATATTCTCCGCCTATCTGAAAAATTAAACCGAGAACTAGAATCAATATTCTTCTAAGATGAAAATGTTGATAAGGGAAACTAGAAAATATTTAATGAAATATATGTACTTAAATATAATGGTTATTTTCTTAAACTGATAATAGACTCCAGTGATCTTTAACATTGTATTATGTATTATGAAGAGTTAAAAGCTATTATAAATCGTATTGAAATCCTGTAATATAATTATAAATAAGTAAACTATAACTATCTCATGTACTACATTGTCCGTTGAAAAAAACAAAATTCTGTTCGGAAACTGAAGTTTCACTATATCAAAAAATTCAATAATCAAAAATTAAAAACTGAAAAAAGTACAAAATAAATAAATATTTACTGAATTGAAAACTTTCTTTAAATAATACACTCCCCATAAGTTTACAGTTTATAATCATGCAATTTGTTTTAATAATACAATACTTATTGAACATTCAGTAAACTTTTTCATTGTGGACAATTGTTGTTGATTGCGACAATTCGCTTAATTACATAATAATAATGTATAATACAGATGTTAATCAATTCTTAATCTTCTTAATCCGACTGTTTGAAATGTTTCGGTTATTAAGCAGTAGAAAATTTTAAATCACTCAATTTTATAATCATGCTTAACTTGGCATCTGCCATCCTTTTTTTTATAAGACTTCTATTTCAAAGTCCTTTATACTAATTTTAGTTTAATTTCCAGATTAGTTTTATTTCACAATTGTTTAGTAGTATTTCTATTAGTTATTATACTAATTATAGTATACAGGGGAAATTATGTATGTATATGTTTATATATACTGCTATGCTATAACTATTTGGAATGCTTAGCCAAATGTAAATATACGATATTTTTTTAATATAGAAATTCACTTTTAGAATGGGTAAACAAATAAGCTTGGAAAGAAAAGCAATAAATCATGTAGTTAAAAAAGATAGATGAGTATGTTTGCGTTTTCAGAGAAAATCTGCTGCAGAAAAAAATGTAGGAATCCCGTCCATTTGCCAGGTTAAAAGTAAATAGCAACAATTCAGGCAACACAATGCATAAAAAATACAACGAGAACTTTAAACTTTGTGCGAGATATAGTTACGCATTCGCGCGTACGCAAATCGCGTATATTTATAGTTTCGTGTCAGTGTTGCGAACCTTGGACAGTCAGAGCTGCATTGCATCTTCTTCCAAATTTATATAAAAAGAAAAGAAAATAAAGTGCAAGTTATTTAAGGCCCCCCAATAAATTCCTAGTTCTATGGTGCGCCTACTTTCAACTGTTATTAAATGGAAACAAAAACTCTTAGCGTCTCGTAAAACAATGAATTATTTAAAATGCTATCAATATTTTGTCTAAACATGATAATTTGTTGTCAACTTTAATGCGTTTTTCATTAACTTTTCAGCTGTCTCCTGACGATGTAGAGCCAATTGAATTTCTGACGGAAATTATGGAGCAAATTGCAGATTCTCCGAATGTCGAGGTGCAAATCAATGGAACAATCCGACCCAGGGATTATCTGCCCTGTGACCTGGCGGGATTCTTTAGGTATTCCGGATCTCTGACGACTCCTGGTTGTAACGAGGTGGTGGTTTGGACCGTCTTCACAAATGTCTTAACACTGTCTAAACAACAGGTGGGTAAAAAAAACATTGTAGTTGAGCGCTGCTTTACAGTAATGTATTTTCAGGCCAAATATTTTGAGTTGATCGACTTGGACACCTTCCGACCGGTACAGAAGTTGAACGATAGACAACTCTATTTGAAACGGAGTCCTATTAATTCAGCACAGACACAATCTGCGCCCATAATACTTACACTAGCCGGAATCATATTATCCAGCATTTATTCGTTCTAGAATTTAGTTTTTCTTACATCCAATACTTGTTGATTAATATGTATTTATTATATATAAAGCACTCTCCTGAACTTCGTAAAGTAACAATTACCAAGTTTGTTAAAGTTCTTATTTCACACATTATACGTAATGTTTGTTTGAATAACTAAAACTATTATTAGTAATAACTACAGACCAAAAACTATTTATTTTTTTAAATACATTGCATTTAAGCAATATTATTTAGGGGAAACCAATGAGCAAATAGTCTAAACAAAGAATGTAACCATAGTTAATATGTATATAGTCAATATAATTAATATAAAAACTGATTTTATGTTATACTTTCCTCTGGATTCAACAACTTGTTCAAAAAGAAAGTCATATAATACCAAATATTGAAAAATTATCCTGTTAAAATTACTGTTAAATTTTCCTATTCCAAACTTACTATCGCATTATTGCAATAAATAACTTTTAAAATTATTAGAACCACAGATATTTTTGAACATGTCACATATTTTTTAAAATTTTTGAAACTATGTTTTAATTTCAATTTGACATTTTTTTGTAGAGGAAAAAAACCTTATATAGGGACCACGGATGTAGTCGTGGTCCAGTGTGGTCTCGTGTTTCATCCTAACCCATACGCAGCAGGTACTTGCTAAAGCATGCCTGGCTCAGGTAAAAAAACCCGTATTTTACTTAAAGTAATTTTTATAATTAATCTAATTATTAATTAAGAAATTCAATTCAATAATATTATGTCACTTAATAAATATTTTGGAAAATAAAATAACAGGTTTTATAGATGTATAAAATAGGATATATATTTTTTTCTCACATTTTCTCAATATATTTTTCACACGCACACACAAAAAATATAATAATAAAAAATAAAGTAAACTGGGGAATTTGGTAACTGACACAATTCAGAACATAATTTCAAAACGAAAAGAAATATATAAAAAGAACAAAAAATAATATCACTCAAAGACAATCTCTTACAGTACATGTATATAAAAAAAACTTACAAAAATACTCTTTCTCCCTACAAATATCTAATCTAATGTTCCTAAGATTACGTGAGCTACTAGAAATATATTCAGGGAAACGATTATTAAATCCGAGCACTTTCAAAAACAATCTTGCAAACATTTAGGAATCACTTAAAGTATTGCATTTGTAAATTCTCTCAATCAATTGATGTACAACAATTGAGCAACACATTTATAATGTATGGATTACGTGAAACCATTTTTATATCAACTATATTCCATAGTTATATATGATGAACAAACTTTTTTTTAAATAAAGCTGAAAAGGAAAATGCTTAACTGGTCCGTTGTTTGTACGTTTATGATCGTTCATGAAACTATCGTTTTAATAATACAGTTACAAGATATATTGATGTACAATAATTGCGCATTTCTTTTTTATTTTAAATATCATATAAAACAAAATCCAAAACATTGGATATGTTAGCGGCAAAATATATATAAAAAACGATCAATTTATTTAAAATGTCTTCAGAATGATTTAAAATTCCTAGACAATGTATAAAAATAAACTGACGATAATGCCTATATACTTTGTCGCTGACAAATATATGTAAAATCCCGGTCGGCGTAGAAACATGATGTGTCAGAGCAGGACCTGAGACTCCACACCATTTAATCATTGTACATCGAAAATACAAACATTTAGATTCTAAATTTTAGAAGGTAACTAATGCATAGTGGAATGTCTCAATTACTTAAGCTAAGAAAAACGCGCGAAGTTTAAATAAATACTGATACATTTAAACAGAAAAATTCCTTTATGGCACAAGGAACGTTTCTTAAAAACTTGAATCTAAAGCGATACGCTTTAAACACAAATAAATAATAATGGAATACATCCACTTAATTATTTTTTCGTAAGTCTTGTATCTGGCGTGGTTCACAACACTATTGTGTGCCATTCCAGATACAAGAGGATTGTATGTAAGAACTGGTAAAATATATGAGCCAACATACAATTATCTTCCATGCATTACAAAACTAGTCAGATAACAAACATAATTAAGTAATTAACTTATTTTCTGTAAGTTCGAGATCTTCCTTGGATTTGAACGCTGTGTCAAGTGGATGTATTACATTTTAAGTTAGAGGCAAGATTATATTATCTTTAAATACGATCACAGTGATAAATGTATACTTATTGTATGTATTGTATGGGCACGTAATCGTTTAATTGCAATTGGGATGAGGACTGTCCCGCAGTCTGCATGATGATGTTGTGGTGCGTTGGTAACTGTGTCTGTATGAACGGAACTAGTAAGTTGCTGCTGGAGCTCGTCGCCAGAACATCTTGCTGTAAAAGGAACTTTTCGTCGGCGGTGATTGGAAAGTTGAAGAGGCCTTGCTGCAAGAGCAACTCTTCCGTTTTGCTTAGAGTAAAATCGGTCATAATGTTGTCATGCATCACCAAGTCGGTCTCGTCAATTATAGGAATGTCCGGAATATTGGGACTGTCGTCCACGTTTACGACGGTAACCGGTGTAGGTGACGGTTCCAACTTAGTTACAGTCAACACCTCGGGTTGCTTGATGGTCTTAGTTGGCTTTGCTTTGGCTGGTTTCGGCGGCAAATGCTCCCCTGTCTTATGATCTACGTTATGTCTCCTACGTGTATGCTTTAACCAATTTGGATAATTCGTAAACTTTCTTTCGCAATATTTGCAAGCATATGGACGTTCTCCTGTGTGAATGTTATAGTGTTGCTACAAATACATGTAAATATTAGAATTTCCAAAAACATATTAATATATCTTTTCATTGCATTTTTTTTATAAGATTAATACTTAATAATTTTAAAGATTAAAGAAAATATCAAAAATGTATTTTACTTATGTTGGAAATGTACTGTACTTGTCGTACATATATACTTTCGTTCGAATTTTGTACGTTACTTTGGATGACTCAATAGATATTTTTATTCCTATAATAAGGTATCTAAATGTATAGACTGCATATTTTTGAAATTAATATTTCAAAATTTCCAATATAATTTAATTGTATTAAACGGAACTTGTAATATGTAAAAAAAAGCAAAATTTACCTTCAATTTGGTGCTGCTCAAAAATCCTTTACTGCAATACGTGCAAATGTACGGTCTTTCTTTTGCATGAACCATGCTATGTACCTTGAGACAACGTTCAGTCTTGTACATTTTTTGGCACACTTCACACTTAAAGGGCCGTTGCTCACTATGGAAACTATAGTGACGACTTAAATGCGATTTTTCTGTAAAACTAATAAACCAGACAGTAAATTTCAAATTCCAAATTCATAAATTTAGCAAACTTACGTTTTACCGCACTTATCACATTCGTAAGGTTTATCGCCTGTATGCTGTTTAACGTGCTGTTGCATATTAACCTTCTGGGTAAACGTTTTCCCGCAGACATCGCACATAAATCTTCTACCCAATCTATGCACGTTCATGTGAGAAGTCAATCCGCCCCGTGTATGTAAACTACAAGAATAACGTCAATATTTATTTTGAAACAATTTGAAAAAAATACTTACACCTTCCCACATTCAACACAGGGATAAACCTCTTTAAATTCATTCTTGTGTTTTTTTAAATGAATCTTTAAGCCAGGCTTAGTTACAAAACATTTGCCACATTCCTCACAGGAAAAAGGCTTGGCTCGTGTATGTTTTGCCAGCATATGAACATGCAATAAACTCTGCAAACTAAACCCCTTGGAACATTCCTTGCATCTAAACAATGATATAAAATACTTAATTAAAAAAATCTCTGTAATAATAATTACATACTTATATCTGTCTTCAGTGATGTGTCTGTAGCAATGTGATCTGAATGTAGAATACTTTTCAAGACTCCTATTACAGAATGAACAGGTATAAACTGGAGTAGTCCTGTAGTTTTCCTTATAGTGAGTATCAAACTCTGTTTTATAAGAAAACATCTTTTCACACATATTACACTTAATACCTAGATGTGATCTAAACTCCTCCTTGACATTATGTAATATATTTTCATCAATTACTTCACCATCTGTAAATTGTAAATTCAGTCAATATTCAGAAATAATGCATTTCCCTAATAACTCACCAGCTTCCTCTTTGATCCCTTTGAAAATACTATCCTCACTAATTTCATTGATACTGTCATCAGCATCTTCATCAGTGTTAAAATCACATTCACTCTTAATTTTCTCTTCACCCTCTTTAATCTCAGATTGCACAGCTCGCTGGGGTGTCAAATTCTTCCTTTTGTTCTTCTTGGTCTCATTCTTCTTTGGGGACTCCAAGTCCTCAAAGTCATCGTTGAACTCAAAGTTGATATCATCAAAGGTCTCATTACTAATAAACTGCCATTTCATCAATTTGTCACAGTCTTCAAGTGTAAGAGGAACCTCGGGTAACACCACCTCAGTCTCCTCAATCTCAGTCTTTAGTATAAACTGGTCATCAGCAGCCAGTGGCGAAGACAACACATCCGTATGCCTCATACTTGCAAGAACTGTTCATCTAAAGAATAAGTAAACAAACATTTGTTTTAAGGTTAAGGTGAACAAAAGTAAACATAGAAATGACTGGTTTTAACAAAACAAACTAATTTTGGATATTTCTGAATGTACCTCATGCAGTTCACTACTGAATCCTTTAAAGATGGTCCCAACAGATAGCGGTTGCAATGGGGTTCGATACCGGCTTATTATAATCACCACTTTAACTTAATTTGCACGAAAAAACTAAACTTTTATTTACTATGGCAACAACAAAAACATTGAGCGGCCATTTTAGCAAATTCTGACGGTGGCTTTGGTCGTTTCCGTATGCGACCAGCGCCATTTTTGAATCTCGGAAGCGCACAAAATTCAAATTTCATTCTATTTCGTTATAAAACATTCAGTAAATTAATTTTACCATCAAATTTACACGAATAATCAATAAAAGTAAACAAAAATCCATTAACAATAAACAAACATTATATTGCAATCGGAAAAATCGAAAATATATATAAATAAAATAGTAACATTTATATAAAATAAATTATATAACAAAGTTATACCGAAACTCAAATGGATTTACGTAAATATTCAATTAGTCCATTGATGTATGTGCTAAATGTATAAACAACTTCAAGAGTAAATTAATTTCTATAACAAGTAACCTTTTCTTCACGGAGGGCATATTTTAGAAATGCGTGAATTCGGAGGAAAATGTGGGATGAACAGGGTCATCGTAGAAGGGGTATAGTGTTTGTTTAAATAATTAAAATATAGAAGAAGATATTTGAATTTTAAAATAGACAATCTGGTGCCCGCGGGCACCTCTGTTTTAAGTACTTATTGCACTTAAGTACGTATTGACTTATTGTTTCAAAAGATATAAATATTAAGCAATTCAAGAAATCATCAAAAACAGAGATTGTAATTTGAGATATATCAAAAAAAGCTGTTAATCTTACATTTTCACAAAAGGTTGTTGGTTCGATTCCCAAAAACCAACAAAAAATTGTGGGGGCTGATAAACCCGAAAAGGGTATAAATAGGTCCAAAAGGAGATTTATATCAATAATAATAAATTGATATAAATCTCTTTTAAATTAAAAAAAAATATATTGAATATTATCAGGACTAAAAATGGTTCAAATAATAAAACAGAGTAGGTTTGTATCAAACTGTATTTCAATTATTTCTTTCATTATATAAATACAATATTAGAATACAATGCGAAATAAAACATACGATTTATGTAAAAAAAACGAAAGAATAATCATTTTTGACAGAGACTTCTTTATATTTTTTCTTTCGTGAAGCCTGAAGCGGTCTTGTTAATTAATAATAGTAAACTTAAAAAAATCTTGTAAGAGAATATTGGAAAGTTAAGTACAAATATATAAATATAAAGATTATATTCTTCTGCGTCCAAGGCCACCCCCGTAACCGCCTCCCATGCCGTTACCATTCGGATTGATCCCAGGTTGTGCAGAGTTCAAGAACAGCTCAATATAGCGGTGCTGCATGTGGCCCTTGTCTTTGCTCATCGCCCTTATAGCGTCCTCGTGACATGCAAACTCAACGTCTGCCTCTCCGGAAGCGCGGCCAGAGTTATCCGACAGCAGGTGAATGTCCACGGGTATAATCGGCTTGAAGAACTAAAAATGAAGTACAATTAGTCAGATTAAATCGAACTATATGAGAATGACGAATCGTGTTACATCGGCAATGTCCATTTGGGACGCTCGGAACGGAAGGCCGCGCATGTGGATGCAATGCATTCCACCGGCGCCACCGCCTCCGCCGCCACCACCAGTGGTACCGACGCCCCCGATAGGTAGCCCCCTGTTCCAATCGGGCGCATAGCCGCCGCCACCGCCTCCTCCTCCGCATCCACCACCGCCCATTCCGCCATCGTTCCCACCCTTCCACGAGTTGCGCCCATCGAACCCACCATTGTATTCGTAATTGTTGGAAGAGAAAACGCCCTTGAAGTTGCGCGACATTCTCGTCTGTAACCGATTATTCATCCCCCCGAAATTACCACCGCCGCCGCCGCCCACGGCTCCGCCTCCACCACCGTTGCCGCCCCAACAATTACGATCCACGCGATTGTAAGGGCGGGGTCGGTAGCCGCCTCCGCCTCCACCAATGCCTCCTCCTCCTCCGCCACCGCCGCCCCCTGACCCACCCATCATTCTCGACGGCGGTGGATTGCTTCGGGTGTTGTTCGTAAACCCGACCACGCAATTCACTTCAGACAAACTGCTCCGGAATATTTCTATGTACCTATGTGTTTAAACCCAGAAAAGAAAACAAAAATATCTCATGTAATATTAAGAAATTTAGCAAAATCTACTTGTACTTATACAACAAAAATAAAATAAAAAGAACCCGTTTAACGTTTCCCTCATTTTGCAGCACACTTTTTGCATTTGTTTATAATGATGTAAATACGAAAAACAAAAGATAAAGAAATAAAAATGATGTGAAGTGAAATCAGAAAAACGTAAAACTGAAGAGAAATAGAAGGTGTAGAATATACCAACCCTCCCATTTGAGAAAAAAATAATCTACACAATTATCATTGTACATTGTAATAATATTTGCATTGGTTTGCTTTTTAAATAGAACCCCACCTGTGTGCAATCTTTTCCCGATGTTTCTGCAGAGATTTCTCTGCCACTTCTTTGTTTACAAATTGTACGTATGCTTCCCCAGAACTCCGCCCTGAGTAGTCAGTCATTAGCTTAATTCCATTCGGCACAATCTCCAACCCTAATACCCAGAAAACACACAACAAATACCCTTTATTCATAGCACTTTCCAAATAGAGAAAATAAATGTATCATCCCTCAATTTATATCCCAAACTTATATTTTTTTTTTCATGTTCCCCTCCCCAAAAATTTTTGACAAAACCAAAAATTATACACATACCACTGAAGAATTGTGCAATTTCTTCTTTTGAACAGCCAAATGGTAAGCCCCGCAGTCTCACGACGCCATCCTCATTGGCCCCAAACTGAGCGCCTGATCGTTTGATTACCCAATCCATCTCTGCTCGATTTACATTGAATACTTAAACAGAAATTAGACATGTACATTTATGAACCTCAAATGGATATAATCCAAATTGTACCTTCAATGTATCTATTCCCCATATGCTCCCTATCCTTCTGGCAGGCCTGCAGAACGTCTTCAGCATCTTCCATTTCAATAAAGGCTTCGCCGTTGGGGCGGCCTTCCTTGGAGGTGGTCATGTGCACACCATGTTTGCCCCCCTTTATGTTGCAATCGCTAAAGAACTTAACGATGTCGTCAACTGTGGCTGACCAGGGTAAGCCCCTCAGCTTAACCACGAAACCATCCTCGACATTGGTCATATCCTCCTGCAGCTTCATGCCGGGATTTTGGTGGTTCTCCGTCGACATCACAAAACCGCCCGAAATACTTTAAACGTACCGGAAACTAATGCAGCGATGAAAAACACACTCTAAAGACGGAAAAAAAGGAGAAAAACACACCCAAAGTAACCGATATTTGTCAAAGCAAAAACAATTCTCCGGAATTCCGGAATTCTCTCCGCTGCGTTTGCGGCTACAGTACTGCCAACTGCAAACAAAACTAACAAAATAATAATAGAAAAAAAACAAAGAAATTTTAAGAACAAAATTTTATTTTTTTAAATTTTGTTGTGAATATTAGAAGCTAAATAATCAAAATTCATCGATTTTAAAGAAATAAATAGGTTTCCACCGACTTTAATAAATTAATTGATTTACCGTTTTTACACACTCAAATAAAAACGTGACAAGAAATTAATTATTCTCTAGTACAAATTCTAATTAAAAAATAAATATGAGGTAACCTATTACCAATTTTCGAATTAGACAAATTATTCGTCCCTTTCATTACTCATGAGCAGAGAGTCGAACCGATATTAATTTCGTTCCGGTTTATGGTTACGTTCCAAGTAAATTTCCAGATTCAGTTTCCGTTCAGTTCCGGTTGAAATTAAAATTTAAAATCGAAAAATAACCAATTTAAATATTAATTATTCTTGTATTTGTTTTCGTTTTGAGATTGGCGTAATGCGTCGAAAGGACGCAGCTAAATGGAAGAGGCTCCTCCTAGAGGGAGGTAGCAGGCGGAAGAAAAAAAAAAATTGTTTTCGTTGATTTATTCATTATAAAACTTAAGAATTAGAAATATTCTATAATAAAATTTGTTCATTAATTGTTTGTATTATTTAATATTAAAAACAATAAATTAATTTTAATTTAGAATATTTCTTAATTTTAAGGTTTATTAAGTCAAGTAAAACAAATACAATAATAATTGTTATTAACAACTAACAACAATTAATAATATTGTAGAAATTTCCGATATAAAATTGAACTGAAATTAACCGTAATTAAAATTACGTTACAGTTACGGTTCTATTAAAAAAAAATCCGGATAATTTCGGTTTACGGTTCGACTCTCTGCTCATTTGCATTTGTAAGGCCGAAGCTACCAAATAGGCAAACTGCACATTTGTCCAGGGTGGCTAGTAAAAATGTACTACACGTCTAAAGAGATTTTTTGGAAATAATCAAGACAGAAGTGAAATGATATATTGCATAATTCCAAATTATTATGATGCCGTGAATCACAATCATGATTTACTTAAGAATGACATTGTTATGAAGTATTGTTCATTACGAAACTCAATTCAAACTTTTTGGTCCGCGACCCCCTTTTGCACTTAAAAAATTTGATGGATATGTGTAGAGAAACATACCTTTCGGTCTGTCATCAATTTTTCTGCGACCCACACTTTGAGAATCACTGTTCTACGGTTATACGGAAATATTGAGTGAAGATTTAAATATTCTAAAATAAATTAATACAGCAGCAGACTTCGCAAATTATTCACTTTTGACAAGAACAAAAATCATGAATAAATATGTTCGCAAAATCGACAATGTAATTAGAAACGCGTGTCTTGAGAAATTGAAGACACGCATTGTGAAATATTTATCCTCACAAAATAAATTGTTGTAATCCTGTGGCAAAGACACAGTGTTAAATAAAAAATATATAGTGTATTCTTGTTAATGATTTAATGTACAACAAATTGAACTACAGCTCAGCAAGGAAATTTAGATAAATTTGAAGTCGCGATCGGCGTAGGCGACAAGTCCGGCCCGTCGTTTGGCTTCTTTTTCCGTTCTATCCTTTTGAACGATATAGCCGCAGACGACGAACGGGACTACGATCAACATCATACCGAACCTCACGTTCTTGAATGTAGGCCTGAAATGCTCAAAGGTGTTAATCCTCATGGCGTTGTGTCTCTGGATGGCAGGGTCGAACTGTGAACAAATACAAAAGAAAGAACAATTAATCATTACGCCGAGACGAGATTATGTAATCAAATCTTGATTGCATTATAGCGATGCAACGGTTGCTCATCTTCCTATTACTTATTTAGAAAATTCATCTTCTCAGGCGCTTGCGAATGTTTAATTAGTCTTGCCCGAAGAAAGAACAATAAATGATGACGATGACGAGATATCAGAAACTGAAGCGAAGAGTACTTATTTTTTATTTGTTTGCATATAACTTTACTTTATTCTTGTATGGCAGGAAAAGTTGTTTTGTAGATAATTTATTCATATAATAGAATGTAAACAATTTTTAACAGAATGTCAACTAGTTTTCAAGTGTCATCTTTGACTAAAAGTAGGTGTAATTTATTGCTTATTGAAATAATATTTTTTTAGGAATTTATGTTCAAAAAAAGCAGATTATGGTATTGTAACTGTAAAATTTGCGAATTTTCTAATAATAACATTTATTGCAACAAATTACTATACCACAAACTCAAAAAAATAATAGACCATAGGTCTTTTTGCCCGATATTAATTTAATAAAGTTAATAATTTGTTATTATTATTCAATCTAACGCAATGTTACTATACACAAAAAGTTCGTACGAATAGCTGGTGGTAGGAGATAAAACTCTCACCGCGGATCGGCGGGAAATATTAAACAGCCGACAATCGTATGCGCTTCTAGTCTTCGTCCAGCATCGATTAATTCATGGTGATTAAGACGTCTCCTCAAACATACTATTGTAATAAACAGCAATCAAAAAGCTAATTACTATTCAAACAACTTTAAATCCGTAAGTATCCTTTTTCTTATTGTTCTTACTCGTGTTTTGCTTCGAGATTGTCTTTCGCTCGCTACATGCTAAATTATTATCCGAAACAAAAGTATTTCGTTAGAAAGTCAAATGCAATAATACTTAAGAGCAATTTTAAGCACATTACAGGCATTCCTTGATATCCACTTTCGACATATTTTTTTTACAAAATTGCAAAGTATCTAACGTAGTATTAAAATAGGAAATTCCCATCGACAATATTAAATTGTTTTTGTATAGCACAAATTGCCTCATCGCAATTTTAGTACGTCTTGACATTTAGCAAATTGCCAGTAATATTAATTAATTTATTATTTACAATTTCGGTTCAAGACATACTCGTACGTTTTGATCCGAAGATCCCAAGGCCAAACATCTTGCCTATCAATGGGTTAATGCAGTAACCTTTAGCCAATGCAGGACTTCCATCACTTGAAATGTCACGTTCCAATTTATTGTACAATTCAGTTGATTTTCTTTTCCTATAGGACAAAAGATGTTGGCCAAATTGTCGCTTATATGTCTAATTTTGGGGACTGGTGATGCCCAATTTTTCGGATCGCGGTCGCCACTTCCGTCCCTGACAAAAACCGCCAATAAGCTCACTAATGCCGCCACCAATTTACCTAAAACTGGTATCAACAGCCTTCTATCATTCAATCCTTTAAAACTTGCCGAAGAGGCCCTTGACAATTCATGGTCAACTTTCCAGGTAAGAATTTTATATTAAATTATTTCCAACTACTAACATTTGTTCAATGCAGGGATCATTCGATAAGACCTATAAGACAGCTGAAGAAGCTATACTTCGCAAGGAGAATTTCATCGAGAATATAGGAAAGATTGAAAACTTCAACAAGATCTATTCCAGCGGCAAGTACTCTTTTGTGCAACAGATCAACAAGTTCGCTGATATGCTGCATCATGAGTTCAACAGCATCTTGAACGGATTCGGGCGCTTCCATGCTCCTCGCGTACCTATCCAAAAGTCATCGTCGTTTATTCCCAGCGCCAACGTGCATATCCCAGACAACATCGATTGGAACGAGAAGGGGGCCGTGACACCCGTCAAAAGTCAAGGACTGTGCGGTGGATGTTACGCTTTTAGCGCGGTAATTATACTTATACTCCATATACAAAATCTTCAAATTTTAACATCCCTTATAGGCTGGAGCCATAGAAGGCCACACATACCGCAAAACTGGAGTTCTCACTGAGCTGAGTCCGCAAAATCTAATCGATTGCACTGATCCATACGGTAACGAAGGGTGCGTTGGAGGCCTTATGGATCCAGCATTCCAATACGTCAAAGATAATACTGGCATCAACTCTCTAGTCAACTACCCATACGAAGCGAAGAACGATACATGTCGGTACAAGGTACAGAACCCCGATGCGGAAACAACAGGGTTTGTAACCATCCCCGAGGGCGACGAGAACGCTTTAAAAATCGCCGTAGCCACATTAGGACCTGTCTCCGCAGCAATTGACGCTAGTCAAGACACTTTCCAATTTTACTCGAGCGGAGTTTATTTCGACGAGAAGTGCAAGAATGAGACCATGTACATGAATCATGCGATTCTCGTCGTTGGCTACGGCGTCGAACAAGACGGCAAAGAGTATTGGCTTGTTAAAAACTCATACGGTCCCGAATGGGGTATCGGAGGCTTCTTCAAGTTGGCCCGCAATGCCAACAACCATTGTGGAATTGCCAACATCGCCAGTTTTCCTCTAGTATAAATGATCCATTACCAATACTGCCTGAATATATTAACTATACAAATATATTTTATGAGACATTGATCTCCACTGGGAATTAAAAATGCTAAAACCATAAAAGTGCTATAAAAACTTGTACATATTTTAAATTGATAAACATATTTGTTACACAATTCAATTCTTTGTTTAATATAGATAACAAAATCTATTCTTTTATATTTGTATGTATCCTATAACTGATTTTAATTACAATAAAATTGTGACAAAACATGCATCTTGTATTCAACTTTTTATTTAATAGTTGTTGCACTACTTTCCACTTTTTAAATACATATATACTCAATTTAGTCTTAATAATTTATAACAATACTTATAAAATTATCAACATTTAACAACCTCATGCATATTGGGTTGCCTGCATCTTGTAGGTAATTATTATATTATATAATAAGTCTGTAATTAAACAGCAGATTGTAGAATTTGTAAAATAAACGAAATTAAACATTGTTTAATTAAAATGCGATTGTATAATCGCCTAGTTGAGGTTATGTTCAAATTTAAAATGATGGGGTACTTACGACAGCTCCACCTTCACCAGATGCATGTCTGAAGGGGTTACTAGTCTGTTTTAAGAATTCTTCACGCAAAACGGTCCTACGTTTTGCCTTCTCTAACAGAACTTGTTTCTGAAGAGCGCTCACATCAAATTGCTCCGCCATTTTCAAGTATTTTCACTGGGTTTCCAACACCGACTGTCAGTGTGTATTCAGAACCTCCGCCAGAGTGCTCTCCGCACCATTGTGAACTGTGTGCATTTCAGCTGTAACCTGTAACAAACACACACAAAAAAAAAACAGCGGTTTAAATTGTAAATAAATAACGAATTTGAATTGCGAACCGAATCAGCTGCTCGTTCGTTGACGGGGTTGGGGATAATTTAAGGTTCTGTTCGTTGAGGTGGTGCAGCCGTTTCAGTTTTATACCAACAAAGAGAGAAAGGATTGCTTGCAAACAATAACAGTGGGGAGAGGACAATGCAAATTGTAGACAACAGGAAGTACATACACGAGATAAGATTGGAACAATAATCATATTGTTAAAAATATGTCCGACGGTGCGGGTGGAAGCAAGGAGAGCTCTGTGAGTGAGTCCACCACTGCCGGTGGTGCTGGAGCCGCAGACAACATTCCCAGAGACTTCAGCAGGCTGTCGCTCTTCTCATCAACATCCTCTGCCTCGCAGGACGAACAGTTCTGCAGCAAGGGGCACGCAGAGCATAGTCTCTCTAGCATGCGGCACTTCCTGCAGGACGAGAAACTCTGCGACGTTGTGCTTGTCGCAGGAGAGAACGGTCCAACGGTGTCTGCCCATAAGTAAGTACCGAATATTCTAGAAGATTAATAAACGCTGACTGATCACCTTTATCCTTTGTTTAGATTGGTGCTCTCAGCTGCAAGCGAGTACTTCGCAGCGATGTTCACCGGCAATCTACGCGAATCTGGAGAATCCAAGGTGGTCCTACGAGATATTAATGGAGACGTTCTGCACGCTATCGTCAACTATTGCTACACCGGTTCCGTCGATATCCGAGAAGACAATGTCGAAACTCTGCTATCCACGGCTTGTTTGATGCAGCTTTCTGAGGTCGTGGAGGCCTGTTCTCGTTTCTTGGTGAACCAGCTGCACCCGAACAATTGTCTCGGCATCGCCGTTTTTGCAGAACACCAGAACTGCAATAGTCTTCTGATAGAAGCAAATGCGTACACTAATAGGAATTTCATGCAGGTTATCAAGAACCAGGAGTTCTTGCAGCTATCCGTTGATCAAATCAAGACTTTATTGTCGAGCGACGATTTGAACGTCAGTTCCGAAGAGCAGATATTTCACGCCTTGATGGAGTGGATCCAATACGATCCTGTTAATAGGAAGCCGAATGTCGGAAAGCTGCTAGGGCTTATTAAGTTGCCTCTTTTGGATCCGGCATTTTTAATCGACAATGTCGAGAGTTCGCTGGGTGGTTCCAATGCTGATTGTCAGAAACTGATTATGGAAGCAATGAAATGGCATTTATTGCCTGAACGACGATTGCAGATGGTGTCGGCAAGAACACGACCCAGAAAAGCAACATTAGGTCGATTGCTGGTCGTAGGTGGCATGGACAAGAACAAAGGGGCGATGACTATAGAAACTTATGATCCCCGAAGCGACGAATGGAAGGTGGCTCACGTGATGAATGGACGGCGTTTGCAATTCGGTGTTGCTCTACTTGGCGACAAGTTTGTTCATTTCCCATATATAAATTCAGTTTTCTATATATTTATTTTATAGGCTATTGGTGGTTGGTGGGAGGGACGGTTTGAAGACATTGAACACGATGGAATGTTTGGACGTAGAGAATAATATTTGGACGCAACTAACTACTATGAATACTCATCGACACGGGCTGGGTGTTGCCGTCCTGGGAGGTCCTATATACGCAGTAGGAGGACACGATGGGTGGAGCTATTTGAGCACAGTTGAAAGGTACGTGTTTGATGCGTATCGGCGAGGATTGAGTGTAACACTGATTTCAGGTACGATCCTATAACGCGTTCATGGAATTACGTGGCGCCAATGCGCTATCAGAGATGCTCAGCTGGAGTTGCCGTACTCGGCGGTAAGTTGTATGCGGTTGGCGGTCGTGATAGCACCTCCTTCCTAAGAACGGTCGAATCTTACGATCCGCACACAAATAAATGGACTGAATGTGGTCCCATGAATAAACGACGCAGCGGAGTTGGTGTAGCGGTCGTTAACGGATTCCTGTACGCGATGCGAGGACAGGACGCGCCTGCCAACAATCCATCTGCCTCCAGATACGATTGCATCGAAAGATATAATCCAGGTAAGTCTCAAAATCGTTCTAGGTTATATATAAATAGTTGATGATATATGTTATGTGTGAACCAGCGACCGACAGTTGGACCGTTGTTACTTCGTTACCGACGAAACGAGACGGCGTTGCAACATGCCTCTTCGGCGATAAACTGATTACTGTGGGCGGCTACGATGGCAACAATTACCTTCGCACCGTCGAACAGTACGACCCTAACACGATGGAGTGGATCACATTAGCTCAACTCGCAACAGGTCGAGCCGGTGCCTGCGTCCTACCCATCGCTAACCCGAAAGAAGCAGACTGAAACTTTTTACAGGCACAAAGGAGACATAATTTCAACAAAAAGAAAAACCTTCTGTGATTTACATTCTATTAATATTTATATTTCGAAATCAAACCCCAAATAACTTGTATTGCTCAAATTGACTATCCCTCCCCACTCTACTTTAGTATAAACAAAACAAAAATGACTGACATGATGTGAAAAAAAAGAAAACAAACGTTCCTTTCTATTTAATCCAATCATATCTTCTTAACTACATGTATTGTATTAATTCCATATTTAATCTGTAGTGTATTCATAATTATTTGTTACGATAGATTTTTGAAAACCGGTGAATCCCTGTGATTCATATATGTGTACGTAGTGTTTAGTACCCAATTTTCAAAAAGTATGAGATTCACCTTAAACTTGTGATAAATTCCTGAAATTCACTTTTAAAATTAAGTATACAATGATATATTTATGTATTGCCTATTATAAGCGAGTTTTATATTTACATTTTTCTCATATAAATATACAAATAAAATAATATAACCAATGTAATCAATTTAATTAAAAGAATTTACCTGCCTAAGATTTATTCTGAAAAAAATAACTATTAAACTTTTTTTATTAGCGAACGAATAAAGAACTGAAATTATTTCATAATAACAATAATTTATTGCATACATGAATAACATATAAACAATAGTCTATTGACCACAGTCTTTCCACCCTGAAATTATCTAGTTATTGTATATATTTGCATTGCCTAATTGTGATGTAATTAATTAGCATAGTCTTTCACCGGATATTTGTCTTTGTATTGTTCCACGTGTTTCTCCATTTGATCCATTTGTTCCCTAAAATTATAAGAATTATTTATTGTTTTTGTCCTTTAATGATAGCGTACTTCAAGTGGGTAGGCATAAATTTGTAAACGTCTTGGAACATTTCTTTCCAGTTGGGTTTGGGTCTCTTTTCAGCGGCAGCGAAGGAGGTCATTACGTCCTTCTTAACTTCTTCAAGCCATGCCTTTTCCTTGGTCTCATCCCAGAGACCTTTGCTCTCCATATGCATTCGCAACTTGTTTATGGGCGATTCCGTCTTGGACCAGTGTTCCACTTCTTCCTTGGGTCTGTACGCTGTGCTGTCGTCCGACGTGGAATGGTGACCAACCCTGCATTAAAAATATTTTAAGAAATGTGTCATGAATTTTTCGTTAACTACCTGTATGTCAAAGCTTCAATGATGACCGGTTTGTTTTCTTTCAGAGCGTATTCCTTGGCTTTCTTCGTGACGTTGTAGACGGCGAATACGTCGTTTCCATCAACACGGAGAGTGTGAATTCCATAACCAGGTCCTCTGGAAGCGATACCGTCACCGGCGTATTGTTCCCGACTAGGAGTAGAAATGGCGTAACCGTTGTTCCTGCAGAACATGATGACCGGACAATCAAGGGTAGCTGCAAAATTGAAGGCGGCGTGGGCGTCTCCCTCAGAGGCCGCGCCTTCGCCGAAATAGCAAATGACGACACGATTCTTGCCCTTGAGGGCGTAGGCCGCGCCCACTGCTTGCGGTAGCTGTGTGGTAAGTGGACTGGATATCGTGACGAAGTTGAGATCTTTGCTACCGTAATGCACGGGCATCTGCCTCCCTTTGCCAACATCATCGGTATTGCCGTAGCACTGGTTCATAAATTGGCTTAACTTAAATCCACGCCAAACCAGCACCCCCGTCTCTCTGTACTGTCCGTAGACAAGGTCCTCCAAGTCCAAAGCTGCCGCGCTTCCAATGTGCGTTGCCTCCTCGCCGTAACTTGTCATATAGAATGAGATCCTGCCCTGCCTCTGAGATTCGTACAAAATCTTATCCATTACGTTGAGCTTCGTCATGTCCTTGTACATTTTAGTGATGATTTCCTCGCTAAGCTTTGGATCCTGCTCCGAATGTATAACGTTGCCCTTCCTATCCATCACCCTATACACCGGAATTGGACCATAAGTTTTCGGCGTTAGGAATTCTAGTTTCTCCGTCCATGATGTCGCCGCTCCAGGAAACGTTGGCGAATCATTTGAGAATGCCTACATGTACAGCGTTTATGAGTAACAATATTTTAATACAAGATATGCTAAAATAACTTTGCATAATATAAGTTATGTAATAAATTTTAATTTATTAAGCGTTTAACAGTCGGTTGTAGATTTACAACACATTATATATGTTAAGATCATAACCTCAAACGTACAATGAATATTAAATTTAGATTTATTAATGAAAATAATAATCTATATTTAAATTGAAAGTATCCTAAAAACGAAATAAACCTCAAAACATCAATTTTCAATATAGAATCGTCATTATACAATATGTTACTTATTAGGTTAAGTTGCCTTAGTTTATAAATGAAATACCTTCGCTTGGTTCCTGCAGGCGATCCTCGTGAGAGCCCTCAGACTAATTTTGCTCAAAGACATGTTCCACGGTTTTTCTTGTTTCACCGTATTCAATTCGAGTTTTCCCGGGAGGTCTCTGGTATTCTGAGAAACGGATAGATTCAGGACGGCTGACCTCTAAATTATCACGCGTTATATTATTTCCATTCAGATTTGCATAACGCGAAAGTTCCCATGATTACGTCGATTCTTATCAGTGATTGGTCAAGCTTGACCACAGTTCTGACACGAAGTACTTTTGAGTATTTAATTATGTGTTATTTATATTTAATTGTTTTTTTTTGTAAATAAAAAAATAGAACTCCTTAAGACTGAAGTTTCTTACTTCCACTTTGCTAGTTAATTGATTGATTGTAAAAACAAAACAGTTCAGTCTTTTCAAAATTAGTTAGATTATATTTTAACTGAAGAAAAGCTGCTTGTTGTATATGATTAAGTAGACAAGAAGTTTCGTACAAAAGGAAAATATTTGTTTATTCAGAATGTTTGATTTGCTTGATTGACAATTACTACATTGTATAGATTCAACAACAGATTTAATTTGTTTGTGCCCCGATAATATTTACATGCGAAATAATAGGAGGCTTAAATTAGACTTAACATAAGGAAACATTTAATGGAAATAATAATAGTAGATCACAATTCTTTCATGTCTTATTCACTATATCTAGACCAGAGGATAACTGGAAGCGGTGGCGATTCCGCAATGGTTATCCTTGTTCCTGGCCATCTTCACGTAACCCTTATCACCCCAGGTGTTGCCCCACGAGTTCTTGACCAACCAGTAATCTTGACCCTTATCATCGGTGCCGTAGCCTACGAGTAGAACGCCGTGGTCGAGGTTCTCCGAACTGCAGCTGGGCTCAAAGTAGACACCCTCCGAGTACAATTGGAACGATTCGTGACTGGCGTCGATGGCAACTGAGATAGGTCCGACGGTAGCGAGTGCGGCCAACAGTTTCTCCTCACTTCCAGATTCGATGTCAACGTATCCCCTGTCAGTGGCTCCAGAGTTTTTGGGATTGTAACGGCAGCTCTCGTCTTCAGCATCATACGGATAGGAATTCTCGGTGTCGATGCCTTTGTTATCTTTCACATATTGGAATGCGTAATCCATTAGACCGCCGTTGCATCCGTTGTTTCCGTAGCGACCGGAACAATCGATGAGGTTCTGCTCGCTGAGCGACACAAGTTTTCCGGTTTTCCTGAAGTGTTGACCCTCCAAAGCACCAGTCTGAAAAAAAGGCAAAATTAAAAACTGACCGACTCGTCGCATATAGTGCTTTGCTTACGGAACTGAAGGCCCAGCAAGAGCCGCAGTGACCTTGATCCTTGACTTCGGTGACTGCACCATCGTCCCTCCAATCAACCTCCTTGGGCAAAGTGATGTGAGCAGGTGAAATGTATGTTGCGCCCTTTTCATTGAAGCCTTTGTTCTTGAGGAGGCCGTTGGTGCTGCGGTTGTATCCGTTTACGGTGTGCACGAACTCGTGGTGAAGCATATCGGCCCACTTGTTCAGGCTCAACTTGTAGGACACCATGCCCATATCGTACATCTGATTGTGCTTGGCTACCTTGTGCGAGTTTTCCATGAAGATCTTCATCCTGAACTTCTCTTCAGTTTTGCTCTCATATTTTTTCGAATGACTCAACTAAAACAAGAAGCATTAAATGCATTAACACATATCCATAAATATCTTTTTCGGTTATTTACCTTGAATGAGGTCCATTGTTCGCCAACGAGATCAAAGAACGAAACAGCCTGGGCGACGGCAAGCACAGCTGCCAATAGCAAGAACACCTTCATGGCTTTAGATCTAAATAACAAATTAAAATATTTAAAAAAAAGTCGAAAATAACATATATCTAAATATAAATAAAACCAATGTATTACAGAGACACTACATTAAATTGTTAATCCTAGACAGTACCGTTAAATTATCGTAGTGTAGGATTAAAGAGAAGCGGTTTTATTCTATTGGATGAATGCGGAAAGCTTCACAAGGTCACATTTGATTATTTGTTTTCATTATAAACTCATGTTTTCAGTTATAAATAAATATTTTTTTTTCATTTTCTTTTTATAATAAGGAAAAAGTACATTATTTGAATAACACATAAAAGCGCTTTATATTTTTTATAAATAAAATTGTTTTGTTTGGTAATAAATTAGGATAAAATAAATCCGAAGAAGTGTATAAATTAAATAATTAAGGTGCAAATTTAAATGAACGAGAAGCAAATAATAATTATGATTGAGCAGCAAAAATGAAAACAAAGAACAGATGAGTAACGCGTATGCGATGTTACATCATCGTTCTGCGCACAAGTTTCTATCGCGTTCGTTTCAGAATAGAGCGAAGTGGCAACTTGAGACAAAGGAGGAAAGAGAAACAACAAAAACAAACGAAACGGTATACAAACGGCTACTCAAAACAACGCAACGAGTACACTTAAGAATATACGACTCAATGTTTTAAATTAGTACATTGATTGGTTGTTAGAAATTATCATAAAGCATTTTCGTTGGGACCTTGGAAACAGATTTCCTTAGAAAAGTAATAAACTGCTATTATGGTTTCCAAAGCGTAGATGATTCAGTTACAAAACAAAAATTACATTGTGAGTCCATCAATAACAATAAACCGATGCCTCTGCTATGTACCTGCGTTTTTATACCTGTCGATGCACGCAGGTGCGTTTCTCTTCGTAGGTATAATTTGGTGAGTGGTCCGATTTTATCGCTGGAAGCAATAATCTCGTTTCAAGGGTCACGAAATATGACTTCCTCTGGATATACTTTCGAAGAGTTGAACGGAAAAAAAATGTACCGTAATAATGATTGCTGCGCAACTCGTTTTTGCTTTGTGCCAAATATAATAATAATATGACTTGCAAATGTACGCTTCTGCACCGGAAGAGACACAGCAAAACAAAAACAAATGAACGAACAGTGCTGCACGTATTCTCTATGCTTGATAAGAAAAAGAAGTTTTTCTAGTACTCACTTTATTATTGATTTTCTTGGGCTCCTCTGCGATCTGAACTCGAGCTGTAGTTGTGTATGACTGCCAGGCGAGATTACTGCGCTAACTTTATAACTGTTGGTTTCCCGTTCTCTTGCGAAGCCTTTGATGGATGGTTGATGATCATATGACTATGCTGGGTACACCAATCGTACGATTGCGGTTGTTCAAAGAAACGGATGGTGCGCGCGTTCCTCCCCCATTTCTTCATCCCCACTTTCCATTGTTCAATAACTCCCCTTTCTTTTCGGGTTGTTTTTTTTTGTGAACGAAAATTTCAACAGAAATACAAGTAAATAAAAACATTGGAAAATCCCGATTGAAATTTAATTACGAAACGCCCCTAATGATTGCTACTAAATACTAAATCTTGTTTTTACCGATAACTAAAGTATGATGTAATTCAATGTTATTGTATTATTGAATTATGTATGTTATAAAATTTCCAAAAAATATATTATTTGAGGACATATAACTGATTTATTCATTGTTTGTTTACAAAATATTTAAACAAACAGCTGAGTAACGTCTGCAAAAACGAGTCTGCTGATGTACCGTACTAATATTTATTTAAGGCTAAAGCTGCTTCCGATAATAAATATATTTTTTTTACAAGGTATTATCACAATTGTCAAACGACCAGTATCTATGAATGTGAAATTTAATATTTTAATCTACATGAATAATATCGTTATGATGATGATCAAAGTTCCATTGTTTTTAATCAAATTCTTTAAGGCCAACTATTTTTATACTCATGTCAATTGTTAAGGTTATGACAAGCTGAAATGTTTCTATGGAAATTTGCGAGTTTTGGTAAAATATGAGAAAATGTAATGATATAATTTTATTATTATCCTTAAAATCAACAAAAATATGGTTTAAGTTCACCGGTACCGGAAATGGCGTATTAAAACCAAGGTAACTAAATCGACCCATTTTTTTACGATGAACAAATAGTCGTGTCTAACAGTACGTTTGGATAATAGAGATTACTAAAGACGAATAATTTATATTTGGACGTGCTCACTTCTTAAAAACACATCTGGACAGAGCGAGCGAACTTAAATTCAAAAAACTCTATTGTCTGTTCATAATATAAAGTAAGCTTCAGCGAGTTTAATCGAAAAACTTGCAAACAAAGACGGTATTCTTTATTCAAATCGTTTTGCTTCTTTAAGTATTATGGAGTGACGATTAACAGCGACAAGAGATATCAAGTTTGTGCTATTAAGGAAGCATATTTTTATTTTTCTTTGTTATTGAAGAGCAAGCAGACACGTGCATTAACTCGCGTTCATCAAACTTTCCCCACTTCAATTTATATAAAGAGAACTATTACATATTATAAGTCGGTTCATAATAACAGAAAATATAGTCTTAATTCAATAGCACAAGTTCCCTCTAGAAGTTTTCTAAACGTTCGCTACTTTTTATCACATAAACAAATCGTATCGTATCGTTGGTCATCAAATAAAAGCGAAAAACTGTAGTTTCTCATTCGATTTGAGACATAAATGACTAAATGAAATGAAAACAATTTGACATTTAACAATATAAACAAAAATGCAAACTCGTGTAGATTTCAGCAAACGTAGCCTGTTTAAAATATTAAAGCTGACCACTAATTATTTGATAATATATGTTGCTATGCTACAAAATGTATAGAAGAACTAAAGTTGTTCAGCTCTGAGCATCGAAATAAGTCATCAATAAGTGAATTATTATTATTAAGTAGTATTATTTTAAGTTTTAAAGAAATAGATACTTTTCTATTAGCAGATGTGCTAGGTAAAAAGTACATGACATTTGCCCCAATTTTGTTTCTTAGTCTGAATCAAACGCAATTTGAACTCCATATTTTATCATATTTTGTAAATTGTGACCTTTGATTCGTAAACATTGAAGGTCATTGAATCGGTCATCAACAGTATGATAAGTATAATACAAAAACAATAGTTTTGTTAATTGGTGTTATTTATTAATTGTAGATACAAAACTAGTTGCAATTCAAACACTAATGTTAAAATACTAATGAAAAAAGTAAATATTTGTACTAATTTTGAAATTAGTTTCATTAAAATTTAGTTCTAATTTTCAGCACCGTGTATTGCTATATTTATGTGTATATTTTATTCTTCAATCCTATAGTGCAATTTGATAAAATATTACCGAAAACATTTTGTTTACATACAAGACAAGGATGAGATTAATATTCAACTTTGTAACTAGGAAGTTTTTCCTTTAATCAGTGTATTGAGAACTCGTGTCATAATTGTTGACCAATTGCAGGCGGAAGGAGAAATACGAAATTCGTATTTGCGTCTTCATTGAAAACCAAAAATATCGCAAATTGTTGCTCATAATAATAATAATAACAACAACAAGAACGCACATTGAGCAAACAAAAATCTCTAATCAAATAAGGTCAAACGAACGTTGCAATACGTTACTGATAATGGCACATCTTCTATTTTTTTTTGACGATTTTATTTATTTATTTTTTGTCTGCCTGGATACACGATAACAAATGTTGAATCTACGAAGAGAGAGAAAAACTGGCTTCTTTTTCGTATACCTGACAACAAAGACCTTTTCTTGAAGTAACATACAATTCCTCACGTTTTAAAGGAAAGTACCTACCTGTGAGCTATTATATTTATAAATGAGGACCAAATCTGTCGTACTTGTTTGTACATTCTAGTGACTGCAACTAGTTCCTTTTTTCGAGAAATAATGAAAACTTAAGGTTTTGAATCCGATCATGCACATATCTGTGAAATTATTATATATTAATTTTGTATATAAATTAAACACAATTTAAGTAATTTATTATAAAGTTATTCCATAATTTGGAAACTGTCAAAGTTTTATTTCTTCCAGCAAACACAACTTTCAACCATTGGATCAAAATTTTGTTTATTTGCAATGCATAAATATTGTTAATAATCAAGTTGCCGTTGGTATGGGCAATCCAGCAACATAACATTTTTTTTAAAACAATATTTCAACTTCTTTATTATAATTATATAAAAATTATTTTAAGGTAACATAAATATGAGTTTAAAAAAATAATGCGATGATTGTGATTGATGTTTTTTTATTAATACTTTTTATAACATATATAAAAATAGTTAACAATAATCTTAAATCACCGCTTTCTGATATATTTAATCGATTTCTTGTTTTTCGTAATAATAAGTAAGAATTAGGATAATCTAGAAATAATGGTTCGGAGATATTTATTAATCTGACGTATTTTATATGAATATCTTTGCAGTTCCATAATTTGGTAAATCCACATGTTTGAAAACTTTCTAGATTCCAAATTCTTATTTAGTTCAATTACTTCTTGTTACAAGGAGAAATTAATATCGGATCTTCTAAATCCGTAATAAAGTGAGTTGATTGTTTCAACATACAGTTGCATTAAATTTTCAAATAAAAAAACTTTTAGTTCCTTCTTCAAAAAAGCATTTTATTTTCTTTACGAGGAACGTACATTATTTTTACCTCTGAAATCGAAGTATATTTGTAATTAATTTATTTGGGTGGTCGATAGCCTTTCAACTAAATGTTAGTTATTTAGAATTATATTTTTCTAATGATGTTTTTATTTTGTTATATTTTCTGGTCAATCAATGATTATTAATTGATATCTCCCAAGAATAAATTTTCATGTGTTATTTACAGGGTGGCCCAATTTAACTGCAACTTTTGGAAAACAATTAAATTTTTCGAATTCATTTCATATTTTCGATTTAGCGCGAACTATGGCTCTGAGTTAGTCTACAAGCGAGTCGCACGCTGTACGAATGTGAACCTGCGGAATCTTCCTCCATTCACGAAGGAGGGCTTTCTTGAGCACAATAACATTGGTATTTTTTTAGAGTTGAAATTGATGCATTATGTAAAATGCACCATATCGAGAAGTCGAGCAGATTTGCCTCTGTACATTTCCTAATATCTATATTTTTCAATAATGGATTTCTCCAATGTGTACAAGTATACATTTCATCCAAAAGCTGCATAAATATAGAACTCAGATGTACAAACAGTGAAAAAAATATAGGTAAATAATTTCGTGATAAGTTCTTACAAAAATTACTTTTAGGGCAAAAAAATACAACATTCCGTTTGTGAACGTCTTAACAAATGGGATTGCGATTACGCAAGAGAGTAAATATTTAAATTTTGACCGACTGCACGCACTTCACACAGATCGTTCCATTATATTTATGTTTCCTTCTTTGATTTTATTTTGTAAATGCAATAAATAGACCATAACCGATAATGTTAAGCCGTAAATCGTTTTTGTTTTCTTATTTCCTCTTGGAATACATGAATTCTACGGAGTAACGATTTGCTGATGTACTTATAAATAAATTAAACGCAGTGAGTAATGATATCATGTGAGTTGATTATTGCTGTTAATTCGAAAACATATATACTGAAAAAGTGAGATAATATAATCGTTTATTATTCGTAGTATTCGACTACTGAAATGCCAACTAATAATATAAAGTGTTAATCAACATTTGTTTATTATATTCATCATTGTATTTATACAAGAGAAGCCATCGTCAGCATGAATAAAGAACTTATATTATATAGCATAAATAAATTAGGACACAATATTAAGTTCTTGTCATTAGATATAATTTAATTACATACACAAATTCATATTAATTTATTTTTTTGAAAGCATTTACAAATCATATTATTTTGTTTATAATCAGTTTCAAGGAATACTTACGAGAATTCCGTTGAATAATGAAAATAATCTACTACTATTCTTTGTTATTAAAGTTCATTTTTTTACTGATAACGTACTGCAATTGCGTTTTACAAGAGTATTGCTATTTCATCTTCTCATTACACAGCATAATCCGTTCCATATAAACTAATGTAATATATGATAATGCGTTCCATTTTGCGAGTCATTTTTCTTTCAATTTATTTTGCTCGTTAAGCGAGGTTCCACTGCATACATAAAAGTTTAATAGATAACTTCAACAAGTTCTAAAGTATGTTCTGAAAGTACTTTATGCACATTATGATTACTTTAAGTGACTTTTAGGTCAAAATATTAAAACAATAAAAGCTTATAGCGTATTAAACACCGTATGCATACGACAGATTAATAAAAGTATTA